AGTTGACCTTGAAAAAACACTTAAATACACCATTTTGACATTTTATGCTGTTGTTGTTTTAAAATTATGCCTTATACTTTTAAACTCCATGTATAAGAATATTCTAAATCTAATGAAGATCCTACAAGTAGGCAATCCAGTCTAAGTTTGTGTTGTGAAATATTTTAATTTATAACAAGATAAGAGGTTGTTACAGCAGCAGTTATTGTGTAAATATGTAACGTTTAAAGTTATTGGTTACATTGGTAAATATACACATTCTAGTTGTAATATTAATGTACCTCTAAGAGATATAAGTAACTTAATACTTTTCATTAATCTTGACAGAGAAAAGACCTGACCTGATGCTAAAGTTAGTTCTATGCTGCCAATAGCATTAAAACTTTAAAGATCATTGCTCACATTCCGAAGAGAAATGTTTATGTCTGTAAGTGTGTATGCTGGAAACTTACACAAAAGCTATACCATGAGGAGAACATTGATTGCTTTGTTCAAACACTGCATTGCTTTATAGTTGTATTACAAATATATAGTGTATAAAGTTTCTTGTTTCTCCAGTGATTTGTTAAATATTGCATATGATTCCTAACCTTGCAAAGTTAGTAGACTTGTTAGGTCTAAGTTGTAATGGATTCCAGCTTTATTTGTTGTATTTCCCATTTGACAGAAATGTTTCACACTTTAAAACGCCAGGAAAGTTGGGATAAAATGTTTTGTTCTGTGTGTAGTCCTAAAAGTAATTGGTGAGAAACTCTGTGAATCATCAGGACTTGTAGGAATGTTTTGAAAAGTTTCATACTCTACAATTCAAGGAAAATGGAAATTGTATCTTAAAATGTTATAATGTTAAAATCTATTTGTTATAAACATCTAGCTTAACTAATTATAATTGGCTGAGCAATCACATCTCTATGTGAAGAAAGTGAGGTGACATCTATCAAGAGTTCCAAGTAATTTATTCATTTTTTCTCCTAATGTGGCCCAAGGAGCTTGAAAGAAGAATGTGTAAACATAGCCATTAATATAGTTTGTCTGTACATGAAGATGTATTCAAGTTACAGAGACAAGAAGTTAAGAATTTGTGAACTGAAGTTTAAGAATTATTCTTTAAGGTTTATTTTGAAATAAAGAAACTTTAAACTCTATTTTAAATTTTAATGCTAATGTCACTGGCATACATTGGTGGTAAGATTGCTTAATTAAATTTTGAATGTAATTAAGTAAAATTTTGTGACATGAGAAGAACCCCTGACCCATAAGCTTAGGGTTAATTGGTTTATATGGAACTATTTCTGGGCAATTATCCATTGATATGGGCATAGATATCTGAATACACTAAATCAGAATGTATGGATACAAACCGATTAATTTGGTCTTTTTACAAATATTCTTCTACTTGTTGCTTTCTCTCAAAGGTCTGTTCGGTGCTAATAAGCAGAACTAGTAGCTGCTACTTCTCATGTTACACATTGGAATGTGTTGCCAGCTAACTCATGTAATGTATTTTAGGTTTATTCTATTCTTATTTGGTAATCTTGTTTGTTTGTTGGCATCAAACGTTTTTATAGCAGACTGATTTGGTTAATGGTTTCCTATTATTTGCTCTCCAAGTTTCAAAACTTCCAACATTTGTAATTCTTGGAAATCCTTCATGAAATAACACAGAGAAATCAGCTATAATTTAAATATCTTTCAACAAATTTGAGTGGGATAAAGGATTTTGGATTACATTCAACACTGAAAACTAATTAGAAAAATATTGAAATACAGATTGGAAAGCCAAAATATTAACTTAGATTGTAGTGCATGGAAATATGTATCTTACTCTCCTATAGTGTATATTTCTTACCTCTAAAGTTCATAAATATTTCAAATTATTTTGGAACATTAAATCTGGTTCAGAATGTGTGTAAAATTTTGTTACTTTTGTAGCTTGATTGGTCATTGAACTTGTGTACTGTTTCATGGATAGTTGCATTGTATCCTTTTTGACATTGTGTATGGGGAATTCATTTGTGACTGTCACATAAAACAGAGACACTTACATTTTTGTGCCTGTTTTCCAATTTATCAGCTACAGAGAGAGTGTTATTTGTGATTGCAAGTTTTGGAGCTTTGTACGAGAGATTCATTCTGACTTTTGAGAAGAGGATACTCATTTTTGTCTTAAAGGATCCAAGACTTGCTAGTGAAGGTTTGTCCATACGTTAACCCTTTGTTCGTCACTTCTGCTGATCAATACCGTACAACTGCCCTTAATCTTTAAGTACAGTTCATCTTACTTTCTAAAACTACTTCTACATGGATGATTAGCCATTCCTCAGTTTTCTTTGCTAAATAAAGTGTTTATGTTATTCAAACTTCAAAACTGTCTTGTTTCTTTCAATCCACTTACAACAAATCTCTGCACTTTTTTTTTTGCATACTAAATCTATTATCCTCTCATTTTTGTAGAGATCAGATGGCTGTATGCAGGTATAACCTTGGATTACTTCATGGTCTGTACTTAGAAACCAACATTATCTGGAATCATATCCTAATAGAACTTAACAAATTATATCCTTAGGCTAGGCTACACCACTATAGTAACTACCAATAATATTTTTACTTCAGACTTGAAGAAAAATTTGTAAGAGTCATAAGAACGTTTTTAGTTAGCATTTCACCATGTCCATACAATTTTATATTTTAATAAATTCCTAATCCTTCCATGTTTAAGTTCATCTGGATTAACCATTACTGGACCAATGCAGATTAGCACCCCATCCAGGACCATACAGATGCCTCAGGGTGAAACACAGATAAATGATATTTCTCTGAATCAGTATGGGACACTTTTGTTTTCTGCAGCAGGCAACATTGTTCGAATATGGGACTTAAGAATGTAAGTTATATGAAAAATCTGTGTGTGTGATTTTATAATGAATATAAGGCTGTAAGTGTAATGTGAGTATGGTGGCTGTTTAAAGCTCTTGTTCTACATAAATATTTGAATGTTTGTCATATGTATGATTATAATATGTGTGTGAAAACTATTTAAAATTCCCATTGCAGGTAGATTACTAGTGTGTAGTGTTCTAAACATGAAAGGCTCACGAGTTTTCAGGTGCAGGTTTACTAATCGTCATTCATGAGCACATAAATTAAAATGGTGAAATTTGGATGAATAAACATTTATTTAATGAGATATTAACATACTAGTCACCAGGCATTAGTAATCTATTTATGTGAAAAAAAAATTCACTTCTTTTAATGAAATTCAATAAAAGCAATTGTATTAAAATATTTATATACTAATTTGAATGTTTTATTGTGTGAATATTCTTTGTTCTTTTAGGTATCATACCATAGGCAGATTGACTGGAGGTCACCAAGCAGCAGTAATGTGTCTAGCTGTTGATGATTTAGGAGAAGATAACAATGTTGTCATTACTGGCTCAAAAGACCATTATATAAAGGTAAAAATGTCTCTTGATATATAATGCCCATATTGGTGAGTTATCCATTACTTAGTAATAGGCATGGTATTACATCACAATAAGATTCATAATAGTTTTTAACACATCCTTTTTTTACTGGCCCACTATTAGTTCATTTTACTACAAATCTCTGTAGAGCTAGTAAAAAAGTCTTTTTTTGATATAATACAGAGAGTTAATCACAGAATGAGTTGCATATGCTAATGTGGTGGTGTGTTACCACAGGTAAAAGCCATGGTACTACGGACAACATGTTGATTACCTATACATGTTTAATTCATGACTAGTTATGGACTATTCAACAGTGCACTACTTTCAAAACTGTCTTATGACTAGAGGGATATTTATTATGAAAAGATATTTATAGTGCAAGATGTTTAAATGATGTGAAGATAAAGTGCACAACATATTGAAGATGAAAGCTTTCACTGTTTTTATGGGAGTGGGAAATACTGACAGCAGAATATTTAGATCAGATCTTGAGCTTAAAAGTACATACAGGGGCAATAAAATACCCCCTAATAAATACAAGAGCATACAATGCATCAAAATTTCTTTCTGTTGTTCTGGTGTAGCTGTTCCTTCAGCTCTACCTTTAATATGGCCCTAACTACACATTTTGCCAGTCTGGAACATTTCACTCATACATAAAGTGAAGTAGAAGCTGTGTTTATGAAGGAGAACCTATTTATTCTAAAAAGTCATTGTGATGCAGCTACACATATCTCCTGGTGTTGTTAACAAGACAATAATCAAGAATTTGAAGTATGTGAAGGCTCAGAGATTCTAGTTATATCTTGAAATCTATGGCTGTTTTAATATGAACTCTCCTGATACAGCTTCAATAAACTTCTGTCTTTTGGTCCACTCAAACTTGTCCATGCACAGTGAAAGGTCTGTAGAAAGTTTGTCAAGATGTGTGGTTTAAAATTGACCTTGCTTACTGTTACAAAAATTGATTACAGTGTAAATGATGCATGCATTTGAGCAACAATGCATAATAATGGCCATGAGACTGAGCATAACTGGTAGTGGAGAAAATAATTCCAACAGCAGCCTAAAGCTTGGAACAGCACAACTGATGATGGTGGAAATAATTTCAAGGATATCCTAGGACTTGGAACAGCACAACTAATGGTTGGGGAAATAGTTCCAAGGATAGTCTAGGACGTGGAACAATACAACTAATGGTTGGGGAAATAGTTCCAAGGGTAGCATAGGATGTGGAACAGCACAACTGATGGTTGGGTAAATAGTTCCAAGGATAGCCTAGGACCTGAAACATCATTCGTATGAAGTACAGTTAAGTCTCAGTATCAAGTTGAAATCAAGTAAGATAGACTATAGTATGTGTAAAATAATTTATTTCCTAATAATTCATTGTATGCAAAAATGCTTGTTCAAAGAAATAATAAGTAATGTAATATAGTATTTTCAGAAAGAATAGAACTTAAAAAAACTTTGATAAAACTAATAAAAAAAATAAGTAGAGTCATGAAATAAAACAACTAACAGAAATATCTTTATTGATTGAAGATGATTTCAAGTTTATTGTTCTTTAAAGGAAATACATTCACCCTAACTGTGTCACACTGCTGTCTTTTTATTTTTTTCCTCTTTTGAGATATCCATGCAAAGGTTTTTGTATCTATTTTTTATATGTGAAGAGAATTCCCATTATGGGAGAAAATATTTCCCTACACAAGATCTTTTTATTGTGGATGTAAATATAATAAATTTACCCATGTATATATTCTGAAAAAGTAAGAGCCCTATTAAATCTTTTTAATGCTGGTTTGTTCACCATAAATTGTAGGGTATCCTAATGAAATTTGTAATAACATTTTTAAGTTTGTATTACTGTAATATAAACAGTTGATAATTTTTTGTTTTAATCATGTGCATGTAGATGCTTTATTCTATCAGCCAACAGACTCTCTCTATGTTTAATATAAATGTATATTTTTCTACTAGGATTAACCTATTCAAGTTAGATAATGTTAGGACTCTTGTGATATAACTTGTTTTAGGTATTTGAAGTCATGGAAGGTGCTAGTGGTGTCCTTACTCCTAAACTTAACCTTGAACCTCCCCACTATGATGGAATCCAGTCACTTGCTATCAATGGTGACTATCTATTTTCTGGCTCACGAGACATGTGCATCAAGAAATGGGATCTCGGCGGCCAGTGTTTAGTGCAGGTGATGAGCATTGCAGATTAGTTTCCTTGTACACTTCTGTTGTACTTATCAATAATATAACCAGATTAAGATTACATTAGTAAGCATGTTTTCACTAACTCATAGTGTTGCAAGTGTTTACTCATGAGTCATGCTAAAATTATACTAAGATTAGTAGTTCTTTCCTAATATTAAAAAATATTATTATATTTCCTTTGAAATGAACAAGCTGATATGTCAGAATAGTTTTTGTCACAGTAAGGCATAGCAGTTTGTAGCTTTTTCAGTCAAAGTACTGACATTTCCAGAATAACAGATTTAAAATTCAACTATGTTGAAAGTTAGATGTCATAAGAGTACAAGTAGAAAAACATTATGTATAATGTATTTTAAATGTTAGATGTTGATGTCGTAAGAGTACAAGTAGAGAAACATTATGTATAATGTATTTTAAATGTTAGATGTTAATGTCTTAAGAGTACAAGTAGAGAAACATTATGTATAATGTATTTTAAATGCTAGATGTTGATGTCTTAAGAGTACAAGTAGAGAAACATTATGTATAATGTATTATATTTTAAATGCTAGATGTTGATGTCTTAAGAGTACAAGTAGAGAAACATTATGTATAATGTATTTTAAATGCTAGATGTTGATGTCTTATAAGTACAAGTAGAGAAACATTATGTATAATGTATTATATTTTAAATGTTAGATGTTGATGTCTTAAGAGTACAACTAGAGAAACATTATGTATAATGTATTTTAAATGTTAGATGTTGATGTCTTATAAGTACAAGTAGAGAAACATTATGTATAATGTATTGTATTTTAAATGTAAAATATTGAGAAGAAGAAAAGCTATTATTGATCTTTCAACTTTTTTTTTAGTCACTGAACCAAGCTCATAAAGACTGGATATGTGGTTTAAGCTTTCTTCCAAACAGTAACACCCTGGTGAGTTGTTGTCGTGGTGGGTTTATGAAGTTGTGGTCTGGAGACAGTTGCCAGTTGTTAGCTGAATTAAAAGCACACAGTGCTCCTATTAATGCAATTGCAACCAATTCATCATTTGTCTTCACAGCCTCAAAGTAAGAATTGTATTTCCTTTAATTTGTCTGACATTGTATAAAGAAAAAAATTACATGAACAATGTATTTAAAAAAGGCTTTTTTTTTTCTTAGGAGGAACAGATTTAAAATACTTGAATCATGACCCATGATCAGGTGTTAAAAGCACATAACACCAAAAATACTAGTTTCTTCAGAATAACACAAATCGCTTGTTCTAGTAGTAAGTAGCTAGTTGTGTACACTACCAAAACACTAATTGGTTCAATATGTGGCATATTACACTGTTATACTTTGTTTAAGTGACCTATTTTACCATACTTTTGTAGGGCTCAATTTAACATGTAGTTTATTACAGTGCAGCAAAACTGGATGTTATTTTTTTTTAAATACTTAAGTTATGTTTTGCTACTGTGCAAGTAAATTAAATGTAAAATACTTGATAGTTACTAAACGTAAATAAAACTTCTAAGTGACTGTTGCATGGTGGGTTTATTGTATGGATAAATCAAGGTTTTATATAAGGAATTTTTAAATTTAGCTTATGGTCTTGAACTTTCACTCGTAAACCTTAATCATTTGATATCTAAAGTATCTTAGTTGGAGAGATCTTAGTATTACTATTTCATTGAAGTACTTTATATAATGGAAAAACTATGCATAATTTTAATGATGATGGTGAAAGGAATGCGATGATATGAATTATTGGCAACTTATTCTCAATACTGACTGATTGTTTTTTAAATTTTCTCTTATTACATAATTATATTATCCATAAACTTTGTGTAAATTTCATCCAACATCTGATATAATAGGTGATAGTTTGACATGAACTATATGTATGAGAATTATGAAAGAAAACAAGAATAATGATGAATTTTACCTTTAGTTGTGTCAGAGATGGTATCAATTCAATGGCACTTCATGTGTGTAGATGAGGTAAAGACACAAGAACAAGCAAAGTCACAAACACTATTGGCTTTCTTTTTTTTTTACACAATATGAAACAATATTAATCCAGAAACTAAAACACCATAAAAGTGTTTTTCGTACATAAATTCTCTTTCAGGTTTTGATTTATGGAAGGGTTCAAAAATTTGCAAATTTGTTTAATGATGAGACAGGTATTTAAATAATATTGGCTAATTTCCATAAAGATACCTATATCATTGAATGCTGAGTTTCTGTAATACGAAAGGATCATTTCTCCTAAGCCCTGTTGAACTACGTTGTAAAGGTGTCTGATGATGTTACTAATGCTACAATGTCATTGCAGTGGGAGATTGTATTGTATTTCAAATATACATGTGCTCTATCATTTCTTTTATGTTACTTTCATTAACATTATTGGTTAGTGTTCTTAATATATCTATTTTTATTGATTTTAATTTAGTATTATACTTTTATTATAGAGATTATTTTGCATTTTTAGCTTAGTATATGGATTCAGGCTATTATAAACCTAAATCTCCTAAGTTAGCCAAACTATTAGTGGGTTTATATTTGAAATTATCATCAATAGCATTATAAGAGTGATGGTCAAATTCCATTATTCAGACTGACAAGAGTGTCTCTATAGTTGGTGTTAAGTGGTGTTGGCTATCTGCTTTCCCTCTAATTTATCATTTCAAAATTAATCCGTGTGTAGCTTTGCACAAAATTAATCAAAACCAAAATTTCATACCTTATGCAATCAAGTCACCTACAATTCCACTGAATCTTACCAAACTTTGTAGTTTATCTCTGATATATGCATGCATATCTTAACAATAGTAGACTTCACATATGTATAATCATCTTTGTTTACAGTTTAATGAAATAGTTTTACAAATATCCTTCATTACTAATATGAATGATGAATGAAGATGTAGCTGCTAATTTTAGATCATGATTTAAACTAATGTGTCCATATGGTGGATGAAGATGCAGCTGTTAATTTTAGATCATGATTTAAACTAATGCGTCCATATGGTGGATGAAGATGCAGCTGTTAATTTTAGATCATGATTTAAACTAATGCGTCCATATGGTGGATGAAGATGTAGCTGCTAATTTTAGATCATGATTTAAACTAATGCATCCATATGGTGGATGAAGATGTAGCTGCTAATTTTAGATCATGATTTAAACTAATGCATCCATATTTGAGAATTTTTTTCAGTTGATGGGG